CTTTGACACAAAAAACATGTTGATGTCCTCTTTAACACCTTCCACATTTGTGTCTACAGAGGCACTGTTTCCCTTCTTGTATTCAAACATTACATGCTGAATGTGTGTCATCACTATAAGGGATTAGAATATACTAAACTTTACACGTTATATATGCTACACTAACGTGACATTTAGGTGGTTCGTTTAACTTTCATACATGATGTACATTTTCTGGGGGGTGGTTAATGAAAGTGTTCCAAAATGCAACATTAATTTCTTGAGGACCCAATATTTGTTTTTTTAACACCATATATGTGAATACACAAGTTTTTGAGGTACTCTCATAAAATTTAAATTTTGTTACAAAATTTGTTTCACTCTAAATTAGTTAAAAGTAGGACATTCCTCTTGGCCATCAACTGTGATTGGTTTGTTATAGCAACCTCACCTGGCAAGTTCAATTTTGGTAGTTTTGAGACTTCCTCATCAAGATTTGTTTGTTACTTTTACAGAGGTGAATTTCATTGACAAGTAGTTTACATAAGACAATCAATCATACAGGATATTGAGAGATGAAATATTCAGTCCAACAGGATCTTATAAGTACTGTAAAGGATACATCAAGCTTATAGATTGTTAATACATGTAAATTTTTTAATGACATTTTAATCTTGAAGGATGTAAAAATAAAGTGTATGTGAAAAAGAAACATTCTGCAGGATTTTTATAAAAGTTAGTTCTATAGAAATTTAAAAACAAATTATATATGCAACTATCTTAAAGAACAATCTTATACTCTCAAATCTTGTAATTATGGGTTTAAAGCTTCAAGCTTATACATATAAGTCATATTCTAGAATCTTAAGTATTTCTTGATTTCATACATAAAATATCATATAAGATTACTGTTTTAATTCAAAGATATCCTAAAGATGTAATGACTTTTTTTTTTGTATAGGAGTATTATAAAATAATTATTAGTTAGCAAAAGGAAAACATATGATTAACTTCTTTCAATTTACTATAATAATTATACTTACAGCCTATTATGGCATCTTTTTTTTTGTAAAGGCTTGTAACAAAAAACAAATATGAAAAGAATACACAAATATAATTAATGAACTACAGAAGGAAGACAAAAAAGTATATTTGTAAAAATTATACAAACTAATAGCGTACAGCCCATCTAAAATGACAAGGTAAGTACTACTACCCCAAACTCCATAGTATGCCTTCACCTCACATTTCATAGCCAACTGTAATTAATAAATTTTGCAAAATCAAGCTTGACCAGCAAACAGATAGAAAAGTGCAGTCAAGGCAGTTAAACATCAGAAAATTCCTTTGTGAGCCAATCAAAATTAAGATAATTCATGAAATGAATTCATGGTGTATTCACAGAATAATTACTGGTAAAAATTAGTTACATATAGAAAAGCCAGTGTGTTTTGGTAACACTGCATTCCAACAATGGCTCTTCTTTCATGTTGCTTAGCAACAAAAGTATAACTTAATATTGTTGTTAGTCTATGTACTAAAAGTATAAAATAAAATGTATAGACAACAAAACTGGAAAAATATTTGTTGATTTCTTAACTTTAGAGTCTCCATTGATTAAAGAGATTTGTTTTTTATTAAAAATGTTGGTGATATAACAAAAAATAGCTTAATTCAGAACCGACTTAAGGTTAAAACTGAATCGATATTTTTTACTTTCATGATAAATTTTATGCACTTGGCTCTAGACTAGGTGATCCCATAATATATCTTTACTTTATGCTCATTATACCAACACTCACTACACTTATAAGGTTTCACGGCACACACACACACACATTCCATCATGGTTCCCTTGCACCCCCATCACTAAAATCATAATGGGCAGACAGTAACCAAACCATTCTATCCGGATAAATGCAATTTTGGCTTTTATGACTCCTCCTATTTTGAGAAATCCCAAGGCTATGCCTTGTTTGTGAGAAAAGAAAAATGTGGTAGATGAAATTATCAAAAACCTTTCTTAGTAGCAAGCACTAATTGATTAACCATTAGCTTACTTGGCAGAATATTTGCTTTACGTGCAAGATATACTGAGTTCAATCATAACTTTCTTAGTAGCAAGCACTAGTTGGTTAACCATTAGCTTACTTGGCAGAATATTTGCTTTACGTGCAAGAGATACTGAGTTCAATCATAACTTTCTTAGTAGCAAGCACTAGTTGGTTAACCATTAGCTTACTTGGCAGAATATTAGCTTTGCATGCAAGAGATACTGAGTTCAATCACAAGTCAGTGAAATCACTGTAAATATTCAAGCTGAAGAATGAAATGGGTATTCAATACAACTTCACAAGACATAACAGTCTTGTTGCAAGATGCAACACCTATGGGTTTCTGTGTGATCAAACAGATGCTGGGAAGCCATCATCCCTGTATACAAGATGGATTATGTAAAGCATCAAGGGATGAGTGGTATACTTTGGATATGACAGCCTTACAATGGATTATTTTGCAATATAAACTATGCTAAAGACCATTACCAGATGTGATAACATGGCTATAACAAAGTTGTTAGCTTCCAAAATCATTTTAAAATAATTTAGTTAACCTCCGTATAGAACGAGTAATCTCTAAATCCTTCCTTCCAGGAGATTGGCTTTATACAGTCTAGTAGCATCACCTAGCCTTGACTCATGCTTCATCACATGCAGTACTGTAAAACATCCCATAACAACAGCTAGAGAGCAACAACTCTACAGCTAACAGAAAATATTCAACTAAGAATTGTTTGTCTTTTTGGTGCTAGTGTGGACCAAAGTCAATCCTAAGTAGCAGTGACCTGATTGTCAAGATGGTGATTTTGTTATATATAGAAAACACAAGTTTTCTACTTTTTAAACAACTGTTCAGGTTAGAGCCTATAACTGAGCAACTAGTGGTGTTTGTTCAGCAACTGATCAATTACCACAATGTTCCTCAATCCAAGAAAGGAATAAGTAAAAATTTTAATGGTAGGTGTTGCTCTAATCAGAAGTTCAAGAAAAGAAGAGTTAGTAGCAGTTGCTACCAGCCAGTTGCCATTTTTCTAGTCAGCAGTTCAAAATTAGTGACAGTGGTAGATAGACTTAGCAGCTTTTACATAATGAAAGCTGGGTGAGCAACTATGGTAGCAATGGGAATCAAACCCACCAGCTCCATCTTCCCCTGATCACCTAAGCTAAAAAAAAAACAGCAACTTATGTGGCTAATATTGGACAGAGCACAGCAGATAGCCCATTATATATGTAGCTGTGTGCTTAATAACAAATAAATATAAAATCAATATTTCAATTACTTGAATCGTTGGAATGATTGAAAACAGTAATAATTTGAAACCTTAAACTTTGATTAGTTGATTATTTTTGTAAGAACAAAGTTAGTCACAATTCCAAGTAATCAATTTTTAAAATATTTTTAAAAAGCTAATCTAATATGCATATTTAAGGAAATGTTAAATCATTAAACAATGAAAAAATAAAACAATACCAATCTCACACTCAAGGTCTAAATACACGTTAGTGATGAATAACTATCAAACTAAAATGTCACTAAAAGTCTAAATTACCAATTACTAAGCCATTAAATATATCAGTATATTTATCAGTGACTATTACCTCCTTTCAATCTTTTCATGACTTCACAGATGGACTCTGAAGAAATAATGTTATCTGTAGTCCGAAGAAGTCTTTCTAAAGTGACAATAATCCACTTATGGTCTGACGAATGCTTGTTGTACGTTAAAGAAACATTCTTACAAAACAAATTACACAAACTTATAAAACAAAAAGCATGCAAATGAGGAAAATTAAAACATTATAATATACAGTAAAAAAAAAAGCAAAGAAAAATGTATTATTATATGAATGAATAACCACAAAATGTAAAAACTACCCTATTATTACATGTATATATGTATATGACCTAAAATAAATCCATAATACTTCTAAATATAACAGAACTTTAAGAACAGAGGCAAGTAAACAGATGCAATTTAGTATCTTGAAACTTGACCTTTCATTAAAATATAAATACATAAAATAAACTTTTCTAGTTTTCAAACCAACAAGGATACCTATAGAGAACAATAATTGAATATGTTAAAATAAATATTTTATTTTGTTGCCATTAAGTAACAGCTTAGTTTTAACTATAGTGGCTTTGTCAATGCTTATTAAAAGTATATGTAGGTGTCCATGCAATGATTAATCACCTTTCTTTAATATGAAGCATATTTACCTGGTCAAACCAATCCGGTGATTCTAAATTTGCTGGAAGCTGAGCAATAAAAAAGTGGCTCAGACTCAAGAAAGCTTAATGATCATCAAACAGTGCTACTTTAACACAACATAACGTTCTGGGACAACATAGAACCTATTGGTCCATCTCAGCTGTTTCATCCTCTAAACAAAATTAAAATAATTAAAAAATCATAATCTTAAATAAAGCCAGCCCTTATCATTCATATACTTATCAAGCTTTTTCTAAAACTCACTTAAATTTACTGCCTCTACCACATCTGATGGCAATCTATTCCAAAGGCCAACCACCCTGTTAGAAAAATGAAACTTTCTTAGCTGAAGATGACTACTACCTTGCCAAAATTTATATTTCTGTCCCATAGTCTTACTATTCTCACTGTTAAATATGAAAAAAGATGATACATCAACACTATCAATTCCCTTTACAATCTTAAACACCTCAATCAGATCCCCCCCCCGACACTTCTTTTTTCAACGGAAAACAATTTGAGAGATTTCAGCCTCTCCTCGTATGAAAACCCCTCCATCCCAGGCACCATTCTAGTAACCCTTCTCTGAACACTTTCCAACAATTCAATGTCTTTCCTAAGGTAAGGAGCCCATGACTGAACACAATATTCCAAATGTTGCCTAATCAGTGGCCTGTAGAATGAAATTATAACCTCTTTATACTTGGATTCAATATTTCTGTATATACAACCTAAAATCCTATTTGCCCTACTACTAGCAACAGCACACTGCTTGGGTGGCTTTAGAGACTGATCGACTATTACCCCATGATCACTTTCCTTCATAACACTGTTAAGGTTATTCCCATCCAAATTATATTTATAATTCAAATTATGATAACCCACATGCATTATCTTGCATTTATTATAATTAAAACCCATCTGCCATTTATTTGCCCACACTCTAAATGAGCTAAATCCTTTTTGTAAATCAGCAGTATCCTCTTCACAGCTAGCAACACCCAAGATCTTAATATCATCAGCATATTTAAGTAACTTATTGACTATTCCTTCATCTATGTCACTGATGTAAATCAAAAAGAGCAAAGGTCATAAGACTGAGCCCAGAGGTACCCACTTGTGACATTAATTCACTCTGCTTTCTTCCATCTAGCCACTCTTCTATCCAATTTACTAACTTATCCCACATACCTATAATGTTTTTTACAAGCCTTTTATGTGGTACCTTGTTAAATGCTTTCTGAAAACCCATATAAACCAAACCTACACCCTAAAATCTCCTTGCAAGTCTGCAGCATCTTTGATGCAGTTAGCCACCCCAAATCTACACCCCTATCCTCATCTACATAAGCAGTAACCATCTCAAAGAATGTCAAAAGATTTGTAAGACAAGATTTTACCTTAGTGAAACCATGTTGACTATCCAATAAAAATTCTAAATTTTGTTAAATGACTTTGCAAAGCATCTTTTAACAGACTTTTCAAAACTTCTTCCACAACTGATGAAAGACTAATGAGCTTATAATTACTGGGACAATTTTTAACACCTCCCTTGAAAAGAGGAGTGGCATTAGCTAACTTCCAATCCTTTGGTACCTGCCCACTATTCAAGGACTGACAAAAAATAGTAGTAAGTGGCTCACATATCCAATCTTCAACCTCCTTCAAAACCCTTCGGGAAATATTATCTGGCCCAGGACCTTTATCATTTGTTAAACTTCCTAATTTTTTCCTATCCAGCTCAGAGTTAATGCAATCATCTTGTGTGATCTCGTTTCAATTTATCAACTGTTCAAGATATGGAATACTGGTTTAATCTTCATTAATTAAAACTAAAAAAAAAACAAAATTTAATAACCCAGCCATCTCATAATCATCAGATACTAGCCTTCCTTTATTATCCCTCAGGTAAGCATTGGCATTCCCACAACTGCAAGCTCATTCACTGGAAATTATTTAAGACTTACTTATGTCTGGAACTTTAAATAACTTTTACTTTTTTTGTTTACAATTTCAATAAATATTTAAAAATATAATAACACTATATTCTTAAAAAAATAATATATAATATATATATATATATATATATATATATATACACACACACACACGTATATATATATAATACACAAAAAAGAAAATCAAAGCTAGTTCTGGTTCAAAGATAACACTTCTCTTTTATATCATGTTTAGATAGTATGTTCCACGAACCATAACCAGACAATTATTCTGTAACAGTAAATAACATAATATGCAGATAATCTGATTAGATGGTACATATCTTTATTAAGATATATCGTGAATGAACATGACAATACACCAGAAACTTGGCACTGCCCACAGTATTAGCTGTAACAAATTAAATTATCCAGTAATAGTGACCTATGACTACAGTAGAAATTCTGCACTGCCTACAGTATTAATTGCAACGAATAAATTCTCAGGTTATAATGACCTAAAACTGCACTTTAAAAAATTAATCCAGAAATCTAACTATAAGTTAAAACTAAGGAAATGTGTTTATACTAATAATTTTGATAGATCTAGTAGATTTTTATAGTTATGTAGGAACATGTTACTTAATATAACTACAACAGAGATTAATATTTCACAAATTACAAATGTACCTAGTATAGATTATTGGTGGTCAAAAATGCTCTGGTAATCTGTCCTGAATGTCAAGATTAAGTATACCCTGTTGTACTCGGTTTGTTTGTTTTGTAAATAAAAGCTAGTTATACTAAGCAGTAGCTCATATACTGTAAAAGTCTTATACCATTTTTCACATATCTTTAATAACTTACTTTCATCTGTATGTGTAAATAAAGTTCAGAAATCCCTTCAAATGTAAGTATTTCAATTTTTTTTTCATTTTAGACCTCAGTTACTTTTAGACAGAAAACAGACCTAATTTCATGTAAGACTTACAAAGAATCACTACATGGTTACATCAGTTTTCTTTACCTAAAAGCATTTAGTACTGATATATTACTTAATAATGAAGTACAGAACAAATCATGATACACAACTTAATATTCAAGTATGGGACAAATCATGATATGCAACTTAATAATGAAATATGGGATACATCATGATATGTGACTTAATCAAGAATGGGACAAATCATGATATACAACTTAATGTATGGGACAAATCATGATATACAACCTAATACTCAAGTAAAGGACAAATCATAATAAATAACTTAATAATAACATACGGAACAAATCATGATATACAACTTAATACTCAAGTACAGGACAAATCATAATAAATAACTTAATAATAACATACGGGACAAATCATAATAAATAACTTAATAATAACCTACGGGACAAATCATGATACACAATTTAATAATAATGTACCAGGCAAATCATGATACACAACTTAATAACAATGTATGGAACAAATCATATGTAACTTAATAATCTAGTAGAGAAAAAAATTATGATATATATAGCTTAATAATCAAGTATGGGAAGAATCAAATAAACACATAAAATATATAAGCCTGGTGAGAGATAAGTGTGATTTCAGCATATTCCATACACAAATGTTTCCTTACTTCATTTATTGAAGTTTATACTTGAGAAGATCTAATACAATGGGATATTTCAAAATTTATGTATCTGGCTGTATTTGTGGCTTGCTAAAACAACTTTTTATGACATTTGAATTAAGAAATTACTTTACTGAAACAAAGAGTGAAATATGACATTTTTAAATTTAAGTTTTTCTTTTCCTCATAAACTAAGTTTCACAAGAAGGATATCTTGGTGACTTAAATTTGTCTGCCCTTGTAGCGTGAAAAGTAAGTTTTGGTGGAAATCAGTCCCTAATTAAAATATTTAATTACTTTTGTTTTAAGTTACATTTTGAATACAGTAAATTCAATCCCCAACCCAGTATAGATGTATTTGTAATCAATGATTATTGTCAGTGACTTAAGTCTACCATTTATGCTGACATTATGAGTTATGCAAACAACTAGTATGCTCATACTGCAGCAAAGTCTGCAGAGGCATTTATACAGCATCTGGTTATGTACAGGCTTTTAAGATATTACTATTTATAAGTTTTACGAATGTGAAATAATAATTTATGACACACAAAATTACATGTATACTGAATATCAAGCTAAAAACAACTTTACAATATATAACATTTTGTTAAAATAGCAAAAACATATGCTTAATTTTTTGCCACATTAAGTCATCTAGTCTAATTAGTGTAAGAATTCTTGGTTCAAATAGATTATTTTCATACGGAATTAAACAGTTTTTAAAACATGCGACATGATAATGGCAAAAACTTCATCAAATAGGATTCTTCCTTGTACTTACGTTTCTTATTTTAATATAATAGCTAAATTTGTTCTTTAATAATTATATAATGTAATAATCCATAACTTTAATTTCTGCATTAATTGGTGTGTTTTCAATGATTAGACTTTTACAGACAAAAACTTTTTGTAAGCCCAACAAAGAAACATTACAACATGAAGTTTACTAAATAGCTATGAATAATTTTCATTATTAAATATCTTACAGCATTTTCAATTATATTTTACTATTAAGTGTAGTGATCTGTATGTTTGTGTATTTCAAAACAGAAACCAAAATTAAAACATTTTTATTTAAAAAATATATAAAATACATACAACATAAAAATAATAAAATATACAATATATTTTTTTATTATAAAACAGCACATTTTAAAGGATATTTCCCTGCAAGTTGTAGCACTTTAGAAACCAGGTTTCTTTGTAGAGATGTATCATGTGTCTTCTCTAGAAAGTCTATCATTTTGGCACAGACTGTATGGACATTGGAAGGGTTACATATAACATACAGCAGATTCAATGTCTGGAGGAATAAGATAAGGATTTTTAAATTGTTAATCATCAGTTATTTGAAACTTAGAGTACAATCTATTTTATTACTTTGGTTCCTCATGTAATCTATACTAATACAAGCTAGAATATGATATATTTTTGTTCTTTTAGGTTATAATTCTAGATAAGATGATAACTGAAGTGAAAATTATAATCAGACTGAAAACCTGGAATTTCTAATGCTGCAGTTATTATTTAGTGTTTCCATTAATGCAACAATAAGTGTTGAAAAATATATGACAACTGTGGCAGCAGAGTTTCATCAACAAAAAGAAATCCTAAAACATGGCAAATACCAACAATTAAAACATTCTTACATTTACTATAAATAAACCGGAAAACAAATCATATAGTGTTATCCCTCATCAAAACAATATTCTATGTGATCCATGTTAAAAAAATTACTTTGAAAGAATAACAGATTAAGTAACTATTTTGTATAAATCCTGTCAGTTCACAAAATTAGCTAAAATTTACCATAAATGTTAAAATTAAGAAAAGGATTTCAATATCAGTTGGCATCTTCATCACTTATTTACTGATATTGCACTGCACACATACACCATTTACAGATTGTAAATATTCAGAGGATAGTTTACAATAGTAAAATGTTGATTATTAACTCAGCCAAACTGTGAATGCAAAAACAATAATGTTTCTATAAAATCCATACAATATCAAACTAAAATACTACATATACACAGTTCCATGTGAAATAGTTGTTATTATTAAATAAGTTAATAAAATATCAATACCATATTTACTGAATTCTTTTAATCATCTATATACAGGCTGAGTCATTTTGACACCATGTAACCACACTATAAATACTATAACTCTGAATGTACTAAGTGTATCTTACAAAATTTGGCAAGGTTTTAGTAAACAATACAAGTCTGTTGTATATTAAAAAAAAATTCAGATTTTTTTAATACAGATTTGTTGTGATATTTATGAAGCCTTTACTGAGTCTACCGAAGTGAAAGGTTAGTTTCATGTTAACCCTCTCTAAATGGTCTTGGTCATTTTGACCAACCTCACAACAACCATTGAACCATGAAACACAACTTTTAATGTAGTAAGTGTATTTTCATGAGATTTGGTAAGCCTTTACTAAACACAAGAAGTATTTTGTACATATACAGTCTTTTTTAATTAATTAGTTTTACTAAAGATTTGACTGTGAGTTTATGGAGTCAAGAGTCTGACTTGGACTAGTCTGAGTGCAAGGTGATTTTTATGTTAAAATTAGAAATACTTTTTCATCTTATTTTTCAAATTTCATTTGCATAACCTCTAGAACCTCTAAATGAACATCAAGTTTTTTTTGGAGTAAAACTTTATAATTTATCTGTTATTTTCTCTACCCTAACACTATTTGGACAAGTCAGAATACAGCAGTTGTATGTGAGTTGATAAACCCAACCAGTGAGTGTGATAGGGGACAGGACATGGGACACAGAGGGAATCCTTGGAACAAATAGATGGTTACAATAACACAAAAGGAGACAGTATGAGCCACATAACTTCTCAGAGAATGAACAGGGCAAAGAAGTCTATCTGAAACCAATTGGAAATAGGAGAGAAGGCCAAACCACCTGGCAGCAGATGTCTAGGGAAGGCCTATCAGGATAGAGGATAACATAAGAGGAATTGGAAAAAATGCGAGAAACATCCACGGCATAAATATCAGAATGATGAGGACCACAAGCAAGGAGGAGGAGGAAGAGGACTTAATGGAAAGATGGTTTGGGGTTTGGTGACATCAGAATAGACAATGTCCGATCATGGTTGTCAGAGAAGAGACTGGGACTGAGGTAGGGGCAGGAGATGACACTCCAGTAAGGGCCAGTGCAGAAGGAACAACATCTGAGCAAACCAATACAGAACAATGAGCAGGACACGATAAGGAGTGATCTGGATAAGGGAAAAAAAAAAGACTCTGGAGAGGAGATTGATCAGAGGGTAGGCATATGGGTGAAACCCCTCCAATCCTGACTGAATGCATCATCTGAAGGTTGTGGAACCAGAGACCAAAAGGAAGGAAATTTTGCATTCCAGTGAGTGGCAAACACATCTACATGTGGTGTTCCCAATTGAGAACACACCCACCAAAATACCCGTGGAAGAAGGGACCACTCCGTGGGTAAAACCTGGTTGGGTCAAGATAAGCAATCCACCACCAGATTCATAACACCAGGAATGTGAAATGCCAAGATCACCAAGTAGTGGTCGTGAGCCCAGTGAAGAAGATCTAGAAACTGAAAACACAGATATCTGGATTTGGTTCCCCTTGCTTGGTCATAAAGCTGCTGTCAAAGGAATAGTCGGAATGATACAGAGCCTGAGGAACTGCCAAAAGTCCAGGATGTTGAAAATGGAGAGTAGCCTCCTTGGCAGAACACTGACTGGAAATCTCTTGGGATTCAAGGATGCCCCCTACCCACCATGGAAGCATCATTAAACAGGGTAATGGACGGTCCATGGAATAAGTTCCATTGTTCAAGAAGTGTCCACTGAAAGGAACACGTCAGCTCGATTAAAAAGAGAGAGAATCCTCACGCAGTGAGAAAAGGAAAGGGCAGGCCCACTGAAACTGCTCCATATCCCTAGCTGAAGTGGAGAAGGCTGGGCCCAACAAAGATGGGAATTGAAGAAAAAAACCCAATCAAATAAGACATTGAGTAAGATTAAGAATGAACTTCTCCAACTGGATCAGAAAACCCTACCCTATTAGCTTCCTGAAGAAGTAAGCAGGCGTTATTGACCAATGGGGCATGGGATGAGGCAAGTAGGAGCCAGTCTTCTATGAAAAGAAGAGCCCAAAGACCCAATGAGTGAAAATGACGAGCAAAACTGCATACCACTTGATAAAACACACAGAGCTGAAAAAGGAATTAACAGCAATGATTGGAACTGGAAGATATGACTCTTGTGAATGAACAGAAGAAAATGACATGATATTGGAGCAATTGGAATATGAAGACAGGCATCTGTCAAGACGATTTGGTTATCCAGTGTCACAGGAAAAAAAAATGCCAAACTGAGAGGTAGAACACCTTAGAGAAGCAAGGTGGCTCCAAATAAGAGTTCAACTGGGACAGGTCTATGACAGGTTTCCAATCTCCTGTCTATCAAGAGACAACAATTAGATGGCAGTAAAACCCCAATTCAGTGGGTACCACCCATTCAACAGATCCTTGGCATGGTAGGTTTTGAACAGACTAAGCAAGACAACTGGAAGAGGTACGATCCCCTGGAGGAGGGAAGGAGATCTGGGAAGTGGATGGAGGGGGAGCAGAACTGAAGACAGAAACCTTCAGACCGAACCCATAGAACCCACGGAACTGTCATGAAGTGTAGCCAAAAAGACAAATAAACTAAACATACTTAGAGAAAGTACTCATTACTATCAAACTAACAAAACCTAGAAATTTGTAGTCTACAAAGTACATAAAAATAACAAACTTCCAAAACTATGATCTCATTAGTTTTTATTCATCTTTCAAAATGTCTTAACAATTTGTTGTTTATTGTTCTCATATTTGAGAATTAGATTTGGAACACCAATATTTTCAAAAATATTATTTTTATTATAAACTGTTTTAAAGTATGAAAGTTAAAAAAAAACATGATATAATAGCCCTGATTGTGATACAAATTTCTGGAGGATGATAGTACATAATGGCAGGATAGGGAAAATACTCATAAAGACACAAACAAAGCAACTTTATAATTGTTTCATAAAGTCCATCCAGATACTTAAACATGTAAAATAAACAATTCTTCAACTTTAATATTACTGATGAGGCTCACATATGCACCCCACAGCTCTTTTTTAAACACAGACTAATTTTATATGTCACACCACAACTTGTAAACAAAATACCATCAATATTAATCCCACTAATTATTCATAGGGTTTCAAATGTATTTTACATAAAAAATAAGTGATTTAAAGTTTAGTCAGTTTTGTACACTAAATGGCATAAACACACAGGCACAAACACAGAAATACTCAGTATGATGCACTATGTAAGCCTCATCAGTAGTGAGTGGTATAAAAATAAGTCAGTAACTTGAGAGTTAACTAAAAAAGGAACTTAGAAAAACATGATTAATGTTTTTTTTTAAACACATAAAACTATCATTCTATTATTAGAGCATTTTAACAGCTGCTTATAATCCTGTCTTACTCAAACAGGATCTACATTACTGGGTCTATTGACAGTGGCTAAGATTAAACACTAAACTTAAGTTTTATAGGAAAAGTAACAGAACAAAAGCATATGCAAAACATTATTCAATTAATTGGCCAAGCAACAAAGTCACTGCAGGAACATTAACCGACGTTATCTTAAAATTATCAGGAAATAGAAAATACTGCAAATGTAGAATGAAAATGACTACATTGCTGATTGTCTACATTTGTCATTTAGTACATAAAAACAAATTTCAACTTTTGCTGTAATGTAACTGCTTCAAAAATACAGGATGAATTGTTTTTAAATTTTATTTTTTTTAGAATATAATCAACATTAACCCTATCCTGCGGGTTTTCCAATGGTCAGGGGTCAAAAGGCATGTCATCACATTTGCAGACTTTCATTCAAAATTTTATTGACCTACTATTCTATGAATGTATGTCAATACGTTTGGTATCAAAGTGTAGATTATAATTCAAATTTTAGTATTATATATCAGTTAATTTCTTAATTTAAAAGTAAATATTGAAACAAAATCTTAAATATCAATTTTTGTGTGTCACATGGTATGTTGAATGCAGCTTTGGTTCAAATTAGAAGTTTGTGATGTCCAAATACAAAGTCTACAGTTTCTTACAAATTAGTATATTGAATGCAGCTTTGGTTCAAATTAGAAGTTTGTGATGTCCAAATACAAAGTCTATAGTTTCTTACAAATTAGAAACTCAAATTGCTAATATTGACAAGCCAGAATGTAATATCAGAACCTCCTATCTTGACCATATTTAGCAAATCAAACATAGTGGCCCCACCCACCTCTTCCATTTTTGGACTTGCTTGTGTACACCTGCTTCATTCTATCCTGTGTTTATAACCAATCAATAGCTCATAATTTCCCCCATGTGGTTTTCTCAGCTTATTCAAGGTACTTATTTCCCAAGATAAATTTTTTTGTTCCTAATCTCGGAAAGAAGAGGTAAGAAAAATTACTGTTCGACAAAAAAAAATTATTTTTCTTAAACCAAAATAAAGCTTAGTTAGTAAGCCTGATAAATTACAGAGAAATGCTGTGGTATTGGTAGAGTATTTTATAATTTATTATTATTTAAAAATGCATATATAAAATTTTAAAAACTTATTTTGTTTTTACATCCTCCACGTGCAAAATTCAGCAAGGCTTAGCATGCAAGGTATAGCAAGCAAGTACAAACTTCTCTTCAATTATAAGTAGTAGAGATCGTTGTTTTCGATATTTCTTTATTTACTGTTCTATGTTTTTAGAAAAATAACTCGATTTAAGAATTTATTTGTAAATAGTAATAAAACATATACATATGTAATATATTATAACCAAAATGTGACTGTATTTTATAAAATACTGGTCCATCAGAACAAAGCCAAGATAGATCACTTTATAAATGTCACTATTAAGCTAATGGATATGGTAACATGATATACATGTGCACCATGATTGCAACTTCTGTTATGTTAGTGAGACACAGCTGAAAGGTCAACAAAATAAAAATAATAAATAAAAATAGCTGTATAATGTTATGAAATTTAAACATTTGTGCTTTCATGTTACAATTTGTATCTATTCTAGAACAAAAAAAACATAACTTAAATCTTATTTCCAAATATATTTTTTTATGGTGATTAGAAGATCCGTCAATTCAACCAAACCCCATACAGAAATAAGACAGAGAAAATAAAAGGTTTTTCTAATAAAACCTTTGATATTTATCTGAATTTTATTAGGAGGTTATAGAGATTTTGCAAATGAAATTTTAAAATTTGCTGATGCATAAAGTTATTTTAATCTTAAAATCAAGATTACTTTGCTTGTGGGATAGTTAACATTTGAAAAGAAAAATTCCCAAACAAATCTTTAATTCAAAAATCTTAAAACTTAATTACAAAACCTCATACTTTGTGTACAAAGCCTCAAAATATTTATTGATAATCTGCAAAATTTCATGAAGATACATGAACATTATCAAGAATTATAAGTATAACTATTTTTCATGGATACTTTGATGGTTACAGCCAATAGTGAAAAAGTTAACTAGGATGCAAAAACAAAAAAAGGTAAAATTCTCAATTTATAATCTTTCTTTATCATAACTTTGAAACATTTGTTTATCTGACTTTAATAGATCATCTGGATCTGCAATGCAATCTGAAAAGCTTTAGGGTGTTAATAACAATTAGGAATAGCTCAAGCTTAGAGTGTATATGAAGTAAAACTGTCATTTTACTATTATGAAACTTCACAATGTTAACAAAATCACAACATTATAATAAGCAAAAATAAAAATAAATCACGTCTTCTTAAATTACCTTTAAATGCAATGTTTCATCTGGGTGTTGTAAGCATTCCATCACAATATCCTGATGCTCAGTAGAAAAGCTGTCTTGAAGTTTGTTTAAAACCCCTGATAGCACTTTCACTCCTACCAAAAATATACACAAGGAAGTGCAAAGCATACATTAAATATTCAAACTGTATGTAGCTTAAAGAGCATAAAAGCATGAGATTAAAGTTTAAATAAATGTATACAGTACATGGTTTATCACAAATTCACCTTTTAAATTATAATTATTCACACTCTTAGCTATCTTCTTGGCTGTAATTATGATAGTAGGCATGACTGGAAAGTAAAAAATCAGTCATTAGATGTATGTAGTATGTTAAAGCTTAAATAAACAATGATATATTCATACTGTTTGCTTGATGATGGCTTCTGAAAAGTAAGCAAATACTTGAATAAATAAAAATTACTAACTCCTCTAAGTCTGGTCTCTTGATTTTCTACAGGGGCAAAACAACAATATCAAACTTTGAAAAATTATTTGTGATGTATCCCCTAACATTTCCTTTAAAATGGAATTATAACGAAATGTTGAGATTTGAAATTTTCTTTTGATACAAGTTTTATTACATTTGTTTTAGATGAGGTAATTAAAAAAAACTGCTATCTCTAATTTCTTATTTTTACCCTCCCATTGTAATTATTATAGAGATGGTGTAAATCATTATATTTCCTAGATGCACTGATACAACTTATCAGTAGATGAACTTATGCTGCAAATCTGTACATTTTCGTTTGAGGCTTGTTTTTAGCTCAAATACTGTGAAAACAATGAATTTCTGAAGTTGCTGATGTCAAGAATTGTAAAATTCAATTACACACATACTTTGTTTTACAATTTTCAAATCTCTGAATCAGGAAAAAGTGCTAATATGTTGTCTGAAACCTGAGAACAGCCACCTTTCTTTGTGTAGTCACAATAGCATGTAAGATTGTAAAAATTTGTCCTACATTTCTAGAAACCTTGTTGCTTAGCAAGAATTTTGTCTTAGAATTAAATACTGGTTTTACTTTATTTGTAAGGTAGGGAGAGGTAATAAACTAACTTTCCTCGGCAAATTAAGAGGAATAAGAAAAAAAGCATTGCAGTTAACTTTATTTTTATAACAATTTTTTGGCCTATAGGCTTGCTGGCTTTTGTTATTTAAACTGTATCTTTTGAAATGCATTGCTATTGGTTATGTAACCTTGTTGTTAGCATTACTTCTGGCCATAATGTTTAGGAGTGTGATATTTCATTTGATCTCTGCAATAACTAAAGACTTGAGGTCCAAATATACAGAAGGATAGGTATAGCAATTTTTTGTGATAGAATGACAGAGACAAGATTTGATGTGAAGCTGAAGCAAAATTAAATGATTTACGTGAACAAAACTATTTCATGGACAGATGTGAAATTAAAAGTTAAATAAATATACATGTTGTATTTTAATAAAATTAAACAAAAATAAAAAATTTGAAACTAAATTGGTGGCTGCTGTTGATGATTAACTGATTGGAAAGATACGTACATGATAGATATGTTAAAAGATAAAGCAAACAAAGACAAGACTTCCACGGCAAGTCTTGACTCCTTCAAGACAGAAATAAATCTTCTCTCTCTAGATAACCAATCAAAACATTAGGTCACTAGAATTTGTAAGTATTTTTGTGTGCCACGTAACAGTTATAAAGCAATCTTCTATACACAAGATAAAGCACGATATAACAAAACTATTCCATGAAACAGTAGATGGTTTTTGAGATCAGAACCTGCTGCTGAAAGTATAACCTAAGTCTGAATTTAACTCTGACTCTACCTGAGATTTAAGATGTTCCAAATTAGAACTTTTTGAAGATAGGAAATATATATACTATGGGAGGGTGAGACATGTAATATCTGCATAGCATAGTAGGCACTTCTTTTTATATAAAAATACCACATTTTTCAACCATTATTCAACTGTATATGCTTAATTTAAAGGAAGTATTAAGTTTTGATAACAGATCACTAAAGACTGAAGCATATGGAAATAGTTGCAGAAGTTTTAACTAAAAATTTGTAGGTCAAATACTAACAATATGAAAGACAAAAATTCACCCTATCTAGCTAGCTAATAAATATCAGTTATTTACACATTCAAAGCAAATAATAACTGAAACTTACTGAAAGGTAAAAGCTTAAACTAAACCATATTTGCATAGAAATAAAATATAATTCCAGCTAAAATATGCATGATCATTTGAAATGAGAATATTAGGTTTTGGGGTTATTTTGTGGAGACACAAAATCCTTCTATCCATTAGTAAACATCAACTGAAAGCTAGAAAATAAGAACATAAATCAATTAACCCTTTCAAGGCGGATCACAGGTGAAAGGCCATGTCATCTTGTTTGTTGACTTGCATTCAAAATTGTATTGAACTACTATTTCATGATTTTATGTCAATAAGTTTGGTATCAAACTGTAGATTATAATTCAAATTTTAGTACTATACATTACTCAATTTCTTGATTTAAAAGTAAATAAAATATTAAAAAACACAGATATGTCACAAGGTATGTTGAATGCAGCACTTGTTCAAATTAGATGTTTGTAAAGTCAAAATACTAAGTCTATAGTTTTGTACGAATTAGAAACTCAAATTACTGATATTGAAAAGCTAGAATATAAAATAAGAACATCTTATCTTTTCTATTTGCTACGATATTGCTCATGTAATAAATGAAACACAGTGACACCCCGCTCACCTCTTTCCATTTTTGAAAACTCTCCCTTATAAACACTGACTTTCATATATATGACATGAATAACCAATCGGAAGCTCAGAATTTCCCCTTAGTGGTTTTCTCAGCCATTTTACTGAGCTTGGATTCTATTTATTTCTTTTGAACCAATATTTCAAGGAGGTAGGGTTTGTCTTTAGTCTGCTCAAAATTTCAAATTTTTTTAGACTAAAATACATCTTGGTTACTAAGCTTGATAAATTACAGTGGAATTCTATGGTATTGATGTAGTAATTTATGATTTTTTAGTTATTCAAATGTATATATAAAACCTAAAAAAAAAATATATTTTTTTTCATATCCTCCACATGCAAAATTTTTAAAGGTTTAGCAACCTACATCAAGCAGCAACCAAGTACAAAGGTTGTAACTAGAAGAGATAATTGTTTGCTTTACTTCTTTATTTACTGTTCTATGTTTTAAGAAAAATAAGTTTAAGAACTTGTTTGTAAATGGCAATAATTTATATACATATATAATGTATAATTGTTGAAATATGACTGTATTTCACAAAGTACCAGTCAACTAAA